TCCGCCTTGCGGCACCGGCACACCGGGTTCTAGTCCCGGTCGGGGCACCGGATTCTGTCCCGGTTGCCCCTCTTCCAGGCCAGCTCTCTGCTGTGGCCAGGGAGTGCAGTGGAGGATGGCCCAGGTGCTTGGGCCCTGCACCCCATGGGAGACCAGGAAAAGCACCTGGCTCCTGGCTCCTGCCATCGGATCAGCGCGGTGCGCCGGCCGCAGCGCGCCGGCCGCGGCAGCCATTGGAGGGTGAACCAACGGCAAAAGGAAGACCTTTCTCTCTGTCTCTCTCTCTCTCACTGTCCACTCTGCCTGTCAAAAAATAAAAAAAATAAAAATAAAAAAAAAATTTTCCCCATTTTAAAAGAAATTTATTTATTTGAAAGTAATAGTTAGGGAGAGGGAGGGAGTGAGGGAAGGAAGGAGTGAGGGAATGAAAAGGAAGAGAGGGAGAGAGAGGAGTGAGAGAGGTTCCATCTGTTGGTTCACTCCTCAGATGGCTGCAACAGCCAGGGCTGCACCAGGCCAAAGCCAGAAGCTTCATCCAGGTCTCCATGTGGGTAGCAGGGGCCCAATGCTTGGGTCATCTTCTGCTTTTTCCAGGCCATTAGCAAGGAGTTGGATACGAATTGGCACCCATATGGGATGCCAGCGTCCCAGACAGCAGCTTTACCCACTATACCACAACATCAGCCCCCAAATTTTTCCTCATTTTTTTAAAAAAGACTTTTATGTATTTGAAAGGCAGAGTGACAGAGAAAGGGAGAGACAGAGATCTGTCTGCTGGTTCGCTCCCCAGATGGCCACTGCAGAGTTCCACACAGATGGAACTCCATCTTTTTTTTTTTGTCTCCTATGTGGCTGCAGGGGCCCACCTACTTGGGCCATCTTCTACTGCTTTCTCAGGCACATTAGCAGGGACTGGGATTGGAAGTAGAGCATCTAGGACTCAAACCAGCACTCCATTATGGGATGCTGACCTCATAGGCAGTGGCTTAATCCACTGTACCACAATGCCAGCCTCTTACCCCTACTTTTACACTGCACTGTTTGAGTTAGAAGAGTTCTTTATATGTACTGGCTACAAGACCTTTATCAGATTTTTGATTTGCAAGTACTTTTCCCTATTCTGTTGGTTATCACTTTACTTTCTTGATGGTACCGTTTGATGCAAAACGTTTTTATTTTTGATCATTTATACTTTGATGGCTTGTGGCTATCTCACTTTTAAAACTTCCTTTTCCTGGGGCTGGCCCTGTGGCATAGCTTGTATAGCTGCCACTTGCAGCACCAGCATCCCAAATGGGCACTGATTCGTGTCCCAGCTGCTCCTCTTCTGATTCAGCTCTCTGCTATGGCCTGGGAAAGCAGTGGAAGATGGCATGGGAGACCTGATGGAAGCTCCTGGCTTCTGGCTTGGGATTGGCTCAGTTCTCTCCGTTATGGCCATTTGGGGAGTGAACCAGTGGATGGAAGACCTTTCTCTTTGTCTTTCCCTCTCTCTGTCTTGTAACTCAACCTCTCAAATAAAAATAAAATCTTTAAAAAAAAAAAAGCTTCCTTTTCCTTTCCCTCATCTCCACTGCTCCATGTTTTCTGTACCAAAATATGTGCAACAAACTCTAAAAATTACACGAATCTCTAATCTTCCATCCATAATTCATAACTTTTTTAAGAAAGATGTTAAATAGAAAGAGGAAGAGAGCCAGTCCTGAGAGCCATCTGTGTGCTGGGAATTCTGCCTGTGTTGCTGGGTTAAATCTTCGCAACAAGCTTTGGGGGTATCCAGGGGAATGCCCTTGTCTGAGGTCGTGGCACGTTGGGGCTCACACTGAGATCTTCGTGGTGCCGTCGTGCGTCCTCCCTGAAGCTCGACCAGCACGGAGTCCGTCGGGCCCGGCAGAGCTCTGTGTTTATAGCTGCAGACTTGCTCTCTTTTTATTCTGCATTTAAGGACATTACTCATTTGCTGTTCTTTCACTTAGCCATTAATTTGTTTCAGACCATGTAAATGTTAAAGATACAGAGTTACAGAGAGAGGTAGAGCCAGAGAGATGCTGGTTCACTCCCCAGATGACAACAGCCAGAGCTGAGCTGATCAGAAGCCAGGAGCCAGGAGCTTCTTCTCCAGGTCTCCCACATGGGTGCAGGGGCCCAAGCACTTGGGCCATCTTCCACTGCTTTCCCAGGCCACAGCAGAGAGCTGGATCAGAAGTGGAGCAGCCAGGACTCGAACCAGCGCCCATATGGGATGCTGGCTCTGCAGGCTGGGGCTTTAATCCACTGCACTACAGCGCCAGCCCCTATACCTGTTAGTTTAAGACTAGATTATTTTAAAGTGTTTAATTTCTGAAGTGCTAACATTTTTGTTAATGAGAAAACAATAGCAATTCTTTGTCCTTGGGGAGGTCAAATGAATAAATAATCATTTATTCATTTCCTGTTGATATACACATATCTAAAACATTTATGGTTTTTACTTTTGTAAAAAACAGAAATGTAATTTTTCCAAGGGACTTTCATTATCTAAATGATTTTTTCCTTCAGGTTCATAATGAACAAGTCAAGCTGACACCTTTCATAATAGGTTACATTGTAGGCAGTCGTGTGACCATTTGGATCTGTACCTGCTAAGTGCAGCTCAGCTGCAGACTCAGGTGTTACCTTTAGGAGCTTAAGAAAAGGCAGATTCTCAGGTCCTTTTTTTTTAAATTTTTTGACAGGCAGAATGGACAGTGAGAGACAGAGGCAGAGAGAAAGGTCTTTTTTTTTTTTTTTTTTTTTTTGACAGGCAGAGTGGACAGTGAGAGAGAGACAGAGAGAAAGGTCTTCCTTTGCTGTTGGTTCACCCTCCAATGGCTGCCGCGGCCAGCGCGCTGCGGCCGGCGCACCGCGCTGATCCGATGGCAGGAGCCAGGAGCCAGGTGCTTTTCCTGGTCTCCCATGGGGTGCAGGGCCCTAGCACTTGGGCCATCCTCCACTGCACTCCCTGGCCACAGCAGAGAGCTGGCCTGGAAGAGGGGCAACCGGGACAGAATCCGGCGCCCCGACCGGGACTAGAACCCGGTGTGCCGGCACCGCAAGGCGGAGGATTAGCTTAGTGAGCCGCGGCGCTGGCCAGATTCTCAGGTCTTTTAAGTCTCTGATCTTCGCTTAATACTGACAGGCAACATACTAGTTAATAATGGCCAGAATACTCACATAGCCATTTTTTTTAAAAGATTTATTTGTTTTATTTGAAAGTCAGAGTTAGAGAGAGAAGGAGAGGTAGAAAGAGAGAGAGAGAGAGAGAGAGAGAGAGATCTTCCATCTGCTGGTTCACTCCTCAATTGGCCCCAAAGGTCAGAGCTGCACCTGTCCAAAGCCAGGAGCCAGGAGCTTCTTCAGGGTACTCCCACACAAGTGCAAGAGCCCAAGGACTTCTGCTTTGCCAGGCCATAACAGAGAGCTGGATTGGAAGTGGAGCAGCTGGGACTAGAACCAGTGCCCATATGGGATGCTGGCCTGTAGGTGGCAGCTTTACCCGCTGTGCCACAGTGCCAGCCCCTCACATAACCATTTTGAAAATGGACTGTTGGGTTAAATAATTGTATTCCATAAGACAACCTTTGGTCTAGGCTAGACTGAGACCCTCTAAGATTATGTATTTTGTAGCCACATTCTTCTGTTTCTTTCTTTCTTTCTTTCTTTTTTTTTTTTTTTAAGAGTACTGAATTTTATTTGAGCCAGAACTTTGTCAGATTTTATTGGGAAAGATTACCCTCCTTTCAAAATTAGCCCTTTTGTTTAATTCTCCTATGTGTAGGTGACATTAGTGCATGGAATTGAATAATGGGAAACATTTTAGAAGTACATTGTGAGCACGCAGGTCAGCAGTAACGCTTGTTCAGAGTTTGTTTTTTTCTTTAGTCCTAGAGGGGTTGCTGGTGAAAGTCAGGGTTGCTCACACTGACTGCGATGAGTGATACAGGTGTGCACTGTGTATCGTCTTCTTGGAACTGTGGAAGCTGCTGCTGTTTAAAGGTAGCTAGGTAGTACCTAGGAGGATATTGTTGAAGAGTCACAGTCTCATTAAAATGAATGTGTAAAAAACCAACTGTAGTAAAATTTTGTTTTTATAAAATATTTGTCTGAAATTGAAGGTGACAGGCATTTCTGTTTATAAAATAATTGTTGCCATTAAATTTTTGTTAGATAAGATTACATTAAAATTGGTTCTGTTTTTCAGCCATATGAAATACAGGCATCTGAGACTACTTGATAATGCTTATCCAAAATATGACCCAGGCATGTATGTCATTTGAGGTTTTTGGGTTGTAAAGTTGACTTTTAGGAATTGATGTTGGTTGCTTTTCTAGTGTGTTCAGGTTGCTGTTGTGAGGCCATTTGGGAAGCAAAGGCGTTTATAAGTGTGCTGCTGACCCTGTGATAGAGAACCCTTCACACTGTAAATTTTGGTTCTGTAACTTCTGCTTTACATACCAAATTCAAAGTCCGCAAATCTCGTTAAGTTGTACCCATTTGAAGGCCTAATCATTTTGTTAAAAGATGAACTAAAATGTTATTTAAATTTTGAGTCTAAATACTTTGAAAAAAGGAGTTACAGTGAAATACATCCTGCAGGCGGATCAGATTTGAACACTGACAGGTATCTATGTGAAATTAATCTATCACTGCAGACATTCTGAAGAAAGGTGTGGGTTTCACTAACTAAGGAAGAAATATAGACTAGTCTGGGATTTTACTTTTCTTACTTTATGTCATTTTGTTGTTGTTGTTCAAAACTTAAGTGCCTTTTTTGAGATAATTATCATTAACTCAGTAGAAGGCAGTGTGGTAAACTGGGATTTCGGATTTAGAAAACCAGAATTCTAGCGCTTGCTCTGTCTTACCAGCAGTGGTTATAGGAAAGTTGTTGAACTGAGCTTCAGCGGTAGAATAGGAAGCCCCCGAGGGCAGTGATGCTTACATCAGTAAACTGTGTGGTTTGTTCCATCCTCTTCATGCAGTGCTGCTTGCGTGCAGAGAGCTTGCCTCCTGCCTGCTCCGTGTGTCTGGCATCTGCTTGTCCTTCAAGACCAATCTGACTGTGTCGTCTCTGAAACCTCCACTGACACATTCACCACCCTTTGGTGCACCAGTTAATCACCTGTACAGCCTGTGTATTGGTGAGTGTGCTTTTTTAACAAATACCTATAATAATAGCTCTTCCTGTGGCTACGTACTTTCATAGGCATGTATACCAGTAACAGTCTTTGAGGTAGATACTATCATTATCTCCATTTTATAGCTGCCGAAAATGACACAGAGAGGTTAATTTGCTCAAGGTCACCCAAGCCAGTAGGCATTAGAACCAGATTATTTTGTTTTTGTTTTTGTTTGTTTGTTCATTTATTTATTTGAGAGGTAGAGTTAACGGAGAGAGATAGAGGTCTTCTGTCCACTCCCCAAATGACCACAATGTCTAGAGGTAGGCCTTTCTGAAGCCAGGAGCCTGGAGCTTCTTCTAGGTCTCCCACACGGGTGCAGGGGCCCAAGCATTTGGGCTGTCTTCTACTGATTTCCCAGGCCATTAAGCAGAGAGCTAGATCAGAAGAGGAGCAACCAGAACATGAACTGGCGCCCATTCGGGATGCCGGCACCACAGGTGGAGGCTTAGCCCACTATACCACAGTGCTGGCCCAGAACCAGATTTTTAAAAAACAAACAAAAATTTGTTTTATTTAAAAGGTAGTTACAGAGACAGATCTTCCTTCTACTGATTGACTCCCCGCATGGCCACAACAGTTGGGACTGGGCAAAGCTGAAGCCAGGATCCCAGAACTCAGAGTCTCCCACGAGGGTAGCAGAGCTCAAGCTCTTGGGCCATCATTCTCTGCCTTCCCAGACACAGGGAGCTGGATAGGAAGCAGAGCAGCCAGACTCAACTACTCTCCAGTTTGGTGTGCTGGCATTTCAGGCAGCAGCTTAACTCGGCAACGCCATGACAAAGACCCTAGAACCACATTTTTAATGTGGGCAATGTGGCCTCAGAGTTTGTGTTTATACTACTCGACTGGTAGATTTTTGAGCACCTTGATGGAGCCAGCTCCTACATACCCACCACACAGTATGCACTTAATAAATGTTTTAAAATGTGTCGTAAACATGCATTACATAGGGATGGGTGATGTGGTACAGCAGGTGAAGCCACTGCTGGTGACACCCACATCCCATGTCAGTATGCTGCTTGAAGCCCTGGCTACTCTGCTTCTAATCCGGTTTCCTGCTCATGTACCTTGGAATGCAGCAGATGATGACTCAAGTGCTTGAGTTCTGCCGTCTGCATGAGAGACCCAGATGAAGTTCCTGGCTCCTGGCTCTCATCTAGCCTGGCCTCGGAGGTTGTGGGTGACTGGGGAATGAGCCGGTAGATGGAAGAGATCTTTCTCTCTCCCTCACCTTCTCTCCTTCTCTGGTATTTTGTCTTTCAGATATATACATAAATCTTTTTAAAATATGCTTTATGTAAACTGTGAAGCAGCATATAAATGTAAACTACTATAACTACCACTATATGCATTTTGTAAATCCATAGAATTTACCAGACTTTTTTAGTTTTATACTTTGTCTTTTTGGCCCCTACTTTCACATTGATAAAATATGAAGGTTGACAGTACCAAAAGTTGGGTTAAAAGTGAACCCTAGCTACCAGGCCCATTATTAGCCTGCTTCAGCACACATTCTTTTCCATAGAAATATGGCTGCTTTTGTCATATTTGTTAAAATTATGTATCATTTAATGTCTTAACTAAGTAGTTTAGTCCTACTGTGTACACCATAAGGTAAACTGAAGAGTTTCTTACTGTTCAAGACTGTTTTTACAGGGCCAGTGCTGTGGTGCAGCAGGTTAAGCTGCCACCTGCAACACCGAAATCTCATATGGGTGCCAGTTTGAGTCCCAGCTGTTCTACCTCCAGTCTAGCTCCCTGCTAATGTGTCTGGGAAAGCAGTGGAAGATGATCCAAGTATGTGGGTCCCTGCTCCACATGGGAGACCTAGAAGAAGCTCCTGGCTTTGGCCTGGCACAGCCAGGCTGCCATTTAGGGAGTGAACCAGCAGATGGAAGATTCTCTCTCTCCTCCCCCCTCTCTCCATCTCCTTCCCTCTCTCCCTCTCCGTTTCTCTCTCTATATATAACTCTGCCTTTCAAATAAATAAACAGATCTTCAAAAAAGTAGATAGATAGGGCCGGCACTATGGCATAGTGGGTAAAAGCCACTGCCTGCAGTACTGGCATCCCATATTCAAGTCCTGGCTACTCTACTTCCGATCCAGCTCTCTGCTGTTGCCTGGGAAAGCAGTTGAAGATGGCCCAAGTCATCTCAAGTGGTATACCTAGAAGAAGCTCCTGGCTTCGGATCAGCTGAGCTCTGGCCATTTCAGCCATTTGGGGAGTGAACCAGCAGATGGGGGAGACCTGTCTCTCTCCCTCTGCCTCTGCCTCTCTCTAACTCTGCCTTTCAAATAAATTAGTAGATCTTAAAGAAAATAGAAAAAAGGCTATTTTTACTTATTTATCTGAAAGAGAGACAGAGAGGTAGCTCTCATCCACTGGTTTACCTCCTAAATGCTCCCAATGGCAAGGGCTAGGTCAGGGCGGAAGCCAAAAGCTCGGAATACAATTGTCCAGGTCTCTCATGTGGGTGGCTTAACTCAATTGCTTGAATCATTACCACTGCCTCCCAGGGTCTGGCTCTCAGACCCAGAGCTAAGAATCAATCCCAGGCACTCTGATGTGGGATGTAGGAGTCCTAACTGGTATCTTAACTGCTCGGCCAAACACTCAGTGCCCTAAAAATTATTTTTAAGGAAAAGAAAGAATATGGTGGCTGGCGCCGCGGCTCAATAGGCTAATCCTCCGCCTGCGGTGCCGGCACCCTAGGTTCTAGTCCCGGTTGGGGCGCCGGATTCTGTCCCGATTGCTCCTCTTCCAGTCCAGCTCTCTGCTGTGGCCCAGGAGTGCAATGGAGGATGGCCCAGGTCCTTGTGCCCTGCACCCGCATGGGAGACCAGGGGAGGCACCTGACTCCTGGCTTCAGATCAGCATGGTGCACCAGCTGTGGCGGCCATTGGGGGGTGAACCAACGGAAAAGGAAGACCTTTCTCTCTGTCTCTCTTTCTCTCTCACTGTCTACTCTGCCTGTCAAAAAAAAAGAAAGAAAAAGAAAAAAAAAAGAATATGGTGAGATTTCATTTATTTCAGAACAACGGAACCTACTGTATTGAGAAAAAAACTAAACTGTCACTGTGGCTATGAGTCTCACTACTCAGCAGGTAGGGAAATTAAATAACAAGGACTATATTCTTATATAAGAAAAGTTAAAAAATACATTCATATGCTTAAAATTTTCTTTCAAGATTTATTTATAAGCTGGCACCGTGGCTCACTAGGCTAATCCTCCACCTTGCGGCGCCGGCACACCGGGTTCTAGTCCCGGTTGGGGCACCAGATTCTGTCCCGGTTGCCCCTCTTCCAGGCCAGCTCTCTGCTGTGGCCAGGGAGTGCAGTGGAGGATGGCCCAAGTGCTTGGGCCCTGCACCCCATGGGAGACCAGGATAAGTACCTGGCTCCTGCCATTGGATCAGCGTGATGCGCCGGCCACGGCGCGCCGGCCGCGCCGGCCATTGGAGGGTGAACCAATGGCAAAGGAAGACCTTTCTCTCTGTCTCTCTCTCTCACTGTCCACTCTGCCTCTCAAAAAAAAAAAAAAAAAAAAAAAAAAAAAAAGATTTATTTATTTACTTGAAAGGGAGAGAGAAAGAGAGATCTTCCATCTGCTGGTTCACTCCCCAGATGGCTGCAATGGCTAGTGCTGGGTCAGGCTGAAACCCAGAGCCAGGAATTCTGTCCAGGTCTCCCAGATGGGTGCAGGGGTCCAAGTACTTGGACCATCTTCTGCTGCTTTCCCAGGCACATTAGCAGGGAGCTGAAATGGAAATGGAGTAGCCAGGACTTGAACTGGCACCTATATGGGATGAGGGTGGTGTTGGCAGGGACTTAACCTTCTGTGCCACAATGCCAGCCCCTGAAAGTTTTCTTCTAGTCAATACTGTCCTATCACAGTATTTAGTATAAAATAGTTTGTGCTTATATTTTACTATCCTAATTCCTGGGATTATCTTATTTTTAGTACTTCTGGTTTTTTCTACTTTAAATTCTTATTTTAAATTCTTGTTGAATTGTATGTTTATTTATATATATGAGAAAGAAAGTGTATTTCAAAGATAAACTTAAATATAGACCTACAGTTGTTTGCTGTTTTGTAATTTGACCCCTGAAGCACAACTATAATCACATTAGTTCTTTTTTTAAAAGCCTTTGGTGCCAAGCCAGTGCTGTAGTATAGAAGGTTAAGCCTCTGCCTGTGATGTTGGCATCCCATATGGGTGCCAGTTCGAGTCCCAGCTGCTCCACTTCCAGTCCAGTTCTGTGCTAATGTGCCTGGGAAAGCAATGGAAGATGGCCCAAGTGCTTAGGCCCTTGCACCCATGTGGGGGACCTGGAATAAGCTCCGGGCTCTTGGCTTCAGCCTGGCCCACCCCCAGCTGTTTGGGGCCATTTGGGGAGTGAACCAATGGATGGACAGTCTCTTCTCTCCTCTCTGTAATGCTACGTTTCAAGTAAATGAAAAATAAATAAATTAATAAATAAAAGGAAGAGATGCAAGGTGAGCAAGCACAGACAAAAGGCTGTGTGAGGACCTACAAGAAGATGATCAGGTGCAAGCCAAGGAGAAACCAACCCTGGTGGTGTGCTTTTTTTTTTTTAAAGCCTTTAGTGGCGCTTGTCTTGCCATCCACATTAACTACAAACTCTTTGCTGGCTTTCATGGGTGGCCACAGTGTGACAGTAACTGGCCTGTCTTGCCCCTTCTCCTCCTCAGAAGCCCTAAATGCTAGGAAAACTGAACAGCTTCAGTGCCTGTCTCAGGACTGCACTGCATCATTAGCCCATTGTGAAGGACCCTCCTGCCTTCAGTTCTGCCTGTGGGACACCTGCCGCTTTCAGAGCTTTTCTGAAACGTGCTCTTCTTCCCAGATTTCCCCAGATACAGCTGATGTTTATGTTCTAAACTTCGGACTATTTTATGCTTTTTTTGTCTCATGTATAATAGTTGTTAAATAA